TATATATATATATGATTTCTATTTGAAACTTATAGTTAAGTATTATCACCTCTTTTTTTTCTTTTCAGTATAAACAAGTTTGTTAATAGTCCAATTTTTACAAGAGGCTTGTGTGGGAAACAAATGTTGAACAGAAGAGATGACAGATAGTAGTGTTAGCTAATTGTTTGTTTTTGTTCATTTATATGAACAAATCTGTGCCATTAGTCACAAAACTTAGATTGTGCTCTTGTATGTCTGTTTTCTGTCATCCCTCTGTCAAGCTGAAGAAAATAAACTCTGCTTTTTGAAGATGGATCTGGCGTACTTTAAGCTTTAGGTAACCATGATGAAGGCAACAGGCTCCATCTGACCTTCACGTGGCGACACTTGTTAAGATGTAATTATGAAGTATAACACTGAGATCAAGGCAGTGGCACCGATAAGATGACTGATAAACATTACGTGGAAGGACGGTGATAAAACCTCTGTCTAACCGTGAAACACATGTAAACACAACTAACGTGAAGATTGACTGCTGCTGGCAGAAAGGATTTTGGATGCCATGACGAGTGACTGTTGTTTTCAAGTTGTCCGTTGATTTTCGGGGAAAATAAATAACAGCACTGACTTCCCGGATGCCTTGTTTGTTTTCGTTATTTTTTTATGTTAGCTCACAGGTTAGCATTAGCTAACCAGTGCTGAGAATAAGCGACCACCCGGGACAAACAGAAACTACAAACACGGTTCTGCTTACACGGTGATGTGCCCGGCCCCTCGCATAACCACGGGCTCCGGGTAGTATCTGGGTAAGTTCTCCTCGCTCACTACGTGCTCATCCTCTTCGTCTTCTAACTCAAAAATGGTATCAAAGTCCGACATGTTGGGGAGTAAGACGCTCATGACGTATCCTGCGCGGCTGCGCACAGACGCACGAGACGAGGTCTGACATGTATGGCAGGCCGCTGTTACATATAATTATACCATATTCCAAGTTCTAAATTGTTTTTATTTTTTTTCTTCAAAGTTTTTTTTAATTATTTTTGGCAAAAACACAAACAAAAAACAAACTAACAGAAAAACACACCCCTAAAAACCCTCCCATCCCTCCCCACCTATACCGGATC